TGGGGTCGGGGTCGGGGTTTGGGTTCCTCATGTGGGAGAACAGAGCTCGGAGCGAGAGCAAAGGAGAAGGTCCCTCCTGCATTCCTCCAGCCAGCGGGATGGTGGGGGACAAAAATTCAAGCAAACCCTCAGGGACAATGCGTGGGTGATGCGGAGCGGCTGATGGCCCTGGGGCACCACGCAGCCCCCCCCCCCCCGCCGTGGGAGCCCCTCCCCGGGCGATGTGGGAATTGTCCTCCCATACAGATTTACACCCCACCGAGCGCCGGGGAAGCCTCATGTGCCCTAAAATACGAATGACTGAAAACTGAGTGTATAGAAGGTGGCAAATATGCTGGTCTCTACCTTTTTTTTTTAACAAGGGGAATTTTCTCATGTGAAGGAACCTCTGAGCGCGTTGCAAATTAGGCATTAAAGCGGGTAGAAAGCAATAGGAACAAACAGGTATGTGCTCAGTGCTGCCTGGTAAAAACGCTCTTGCCCATGCGAAATTTTTGGAGCAGGACGTATCGCGAATCCCTTCCAAATTACCCTGCGACCCTGTGCCATTGCCTCCGCCCGGCTGTTTCCCGTTACGTTACGGACTTTTCCGATGGCAGAACAAATTCCCTCCCTCGCCCGCGATGCTCAGCAGAGAAACATAAAACAGGACCGAAACCTGGAGCCGACCCAGACTAAGCGCATTTGCAGCATCCCTGCGTGTGCATCGGCGGCGCTTAAGGTCAGTCAAGTGGGAAGTCAGTTCCTCCCATCGATGTCAATACTTATTTATCTGCTCTCAATATTAAGGCTGAATGGGGAGTTTTTAATTCCTGGTTTGTTTTGTTTTTTTTTTAAGATTTTTTTTTTTTCCCCCACTATTTTCTTGTTTTAAAGGATTTTGTGATGCGAGCTGTAGCGTGACCGGCGGGGTGGGGTGTGTGGCCCCTCTTCCCGCGGGGACGGGGGACATGCGGGGCCCCCGGGGGAGTTCACCGGGGAGGGACGTGAGGGGCCTTTGGCGGCACCGCGGCACCGCCAGCCAGGCGATGCGCTGCCGGGCTAAAGCATCTGCCTGAAATTCATCCTTTCCCTAAACTTCCTCACGTGTGTCAGTTTAGGCAAGAATTTAAAAAATTATTTAAGATTCTTTTAAAAGAAAATGAAAGTTTTTCCTTGCTCCCCCCCCGCTCCCCGCCAAAGAAACAAAAGCTTCCATGGCAGACTATGAAATATGGATTATTTACCTCCAGACTGGGTACAAGCCTGATCCAATCTTAGAAGTAAATGCATATTTAGTCTTTAAGGCAATTTTTTTTTATCCATGTAAATACATATTTTGGTATACACATTCTTTAGAACACAGTTACGTGGACTAAGTGGAGATTTTGGTAGGCATCACGTTTGCCGCTGTTTGTCTAGAACGCTAGCTCTGAAAAATGTGCAAAAAAGCAGCTTTTACTGGTGATGGTTTTTAACGCTCCTGTATCTTAAAAACAGCACAGTTTCTAAAAAAAGTACATATATTGAAAAGTTTAAAAAAAGCTGTCTAGCTACGAAGGGTACGTTTCCTGCCAAGTTATAAACCCTTGAGAAACTGCATTTGTTCAACTTGTGAGACATCCTTTAATTCAGTATTGGTATAATCACGATAAACGACTGTATAATTAGAGCATCGTTGCTTCTGCGACCGCCACCGATGCAGTGGTAATTGCAGACCTGAGTTATTGCACAAGTAGGAACTTACGGTGTTACAGACCGTGGGGGTTCCAGTGGGGACAACAATCTCGATATAATTATTCAGTTAAACTGCTTGGAGCTAAGCCATTTATTTTTCACGTCTGAAAGGTGGGAATAAATATAATAATATTTGCCCGACAGATACGAACAGTATGGGTTAATCCTTTGAAGAAGCATAGAACATACCTGCAAACAGTTGCCTACAGCAAATACACCCCACGAATTACAGGGTGGGCGGATTTCGTAAAAATGTGGCGGTGTTCAATTTGCAACAGTCCGTTTTGGAAGAAACGCCCCCATAAGTCCCAGTCTGTACAATTACCAGTTTACTGCACGGAACAGATCCACCAAAACCCCAAGGTTCTTTATTTGATCCGCCCCGCCCACGGCTCCGATCCCGCACAAATTAAGGTCGTTGGACTCTACGGCTGCGGGATGGACAGGCGGCAGTTAGGGGCGACTGTACCTCTTTGGGGCAGAGGCTCCTGAGCAGCCTTCAGGGGACGGACCCGACCGACACCGGGGGCACGCGGCGGCACCGGCGCCGTCCCGGCACTGCGCTGGGCACACGCCCCCACCCCCTACACATCCACTGCTGCACCCCCGGGTCTGACTGATTTTTTCCAGCTACGGAAACGCCATCGGCACCTAGGAGCGTTTGTGGGGTTTGTTTTCTCTTTTGACTTGACAATAATTACATCCCCCCAAATTTAAGTGCCAATTCAGAGATGGGACGGAGTATCTTGTCCGCGCTGCCCAGTGGCTCTACCTACTACGAATGCAAACAGTCAATACTTCATACTTCTTTCTTTTTTCTTTTTTTTTTTTTTTTTGTATTTAATTATGCTGCTGTTCATTCTATTCTGTTGCTGGAAATATCAGGATCCAGATATCAGGAATTGCTGACATGAAATATATCATTGAAACACATAACTTGATCCAGCCACAGTATAGAAACATCTCTCAGTTTTCCTGGAGACGAGCCATAGGAGTCGGGCTACGCGCATCCTTTTTTTCTTTCTTCGTAAAACTGTACTGACATGACACTTTCTGCAGCACCACTGTTTCTAGCGAATGGATTCTAAAATAGAGCACTTTAAAGCTGCAATACAAGAGAGATCAGAATATCAGGACTGTGTCGAGTGTAATTTGAGTTGGGTTTATACTATTTCCTTAAAAAATGAATTTTGTCATGTAATCGAGGTTTTAAAAAACACCACATTTCTGAAAAGGGTAAGTGCTTATAGCACGTGGCTGTAAATAACACGATAGGAATAGGACAGTCTGTCACTGAACGTACGCAGAATCACCCGGGACATTTTACTGCCGCATTTTGGAGTCAACGTATTTCCGTTCATGCCCTGCGCCTGAGTTTGTCAGTGGCTACAACAGATACGCTGCATGTTCTGTCTACGTGGCAGCACGGGATAGTGTGTGTGTGTCGAGACCAGCAGAACTGGGAGTCTGCCTTTGCGAGACCAGGGGTACCTGCGAGCTCAGGTTGGAGCTGGCGCCCGTGCTCAGCGCTGCGCTGGCACTGCTCGCTGCAAGATCCTACTGCTAGCAGGAAAAGCGTAGTATAGGAATTGTGTCACCGACTGGAGTTCGTATACAAAACAGGGGAATAATAACGTCGATAGCGGTTTTATTATTATTCTTGTCATCAATAGTTGTTTTGTAAGCAAGTCAAGACCTTCTGGGGTCACCAGGAGATCTTGCCCTCAAGGGGCTGTTGGCCATAGTCGCGTCCCAGCAATTTACACAGATGGCATTTGTAAATTCAGCCATAAACTGTGAGCAACGTTTTGTGTTAATGCTGTCTGGAGGTGTTAAAAAAAGAAAAAAAAGAAAAAAAAGAAAAAAAAAAAGGTTAGTAACATTAGATGTTATTTTGCAACTTGATCCTTCACTCCGTGAAATGAGAGTGTTATTTCGATAGACTGCAAAACTAGGAAATTGTGTGCGAGGAGTTAACTGCTGCGGTGAGATAGTTGTGCAGTGTTGGTACCTCGGTGATGGAGCCCTGTCTGTAAAGATGATTCTGTCATGGACGGCAACATGCACTTCAGTACAGTCATCGGAGCAACCTCGTTTTAATATACAGATGTATTTTATATATATATATGAATATATATAAAATTCTGCTTGATACTTTGTGTATTTTCAGGTATCTAATATTTAAAAGCATCCTTTATCATTGCTAAATTAGCCAAACCAGTACAAAATTAAGTGCAAGAAAAATACGGATTCACATAGGTTTTGCCGGTAATACAAAAGGGACTATTCAGCTTCTCACATTCACAGCCAGTTAGGAGCTTTGATTTAGAATGACTACGGGAACCGTTCCGACATTCAAAAGATGCCTCAAAGTAATTTGCGTTCTGTTTTGTAATGGGAAAACTAGTTTTTGCAGAGATCACCTACCGCTTAGTGGTGCTAGATGGAAAACATAAGAAGGAGTTGGTGCCGTCCTTGACTGATTGCCTAAAAACGCTAAGTTTAGTCTGCAGCAGTTTGATGACCGCCGGGAGGTGGGAGAGGAGTTTTTCCTTTTAGCCCATAGCACCTTTGTCCTCGACTAGAGATCTCTTACGCTCAAAAGGATGCTTTAGCATTTCCCAAAACACGTTCCAGATTAGTCGGAGAGGAAGAGGAAAGTAGTGTTTTATGAAGGCACACCCATGCTGAATTTGCAGGAAAAAAGGAAAGAAAAGGGAAAGCGGTACTGCACAATGCAGTTATAATACAAGGCTCATTCTTGAAACCTGAATATCATGCTAGAAGAAAATCTAGATATGTGTAATATTTTTGAAGAAATATTTTGAAGGCAATATTATTTGATTTTTTTTTATCAAAAAAAGAAAAAATATTTCTGTGTAAATGTGGATAGAATGCTATTTAAGAAGGGAACTGAATATTTGTATTGCAGCCTTAAAGAAGCACATTTTTACTGCAATATTTTTTTTTTTTTGTAAACTACGGTCTGCAACTCAGCAGACCATGACTGAATGCTTTTGAAAACTTGTAGATTACAAACATGAAATCACGATTAATATCCTCTAAAAGTAATTTCAGAGCTTTCACGTCTTAAAAAAGGACAATGTGTACTGCTTCACAAGGTAATGCAGCTAATCAAAAAAAGGAGTAGAATTAAAGTATTTACATAATGAGCAATTCTACAGAAGGCGATCATCCCCATGTAAGCACTGCTGATTATATCCCACGCTGCTTTTAACAAACTCTACCAGATTGGATCCAGTCATCAGCACTTTCAGAGAATCCTTAAAAGCCTTTTATGGGTCTTTACACTTAGTGCAGAATGATGTTCTTCAGGTAGAATATGCTGGTGAGGGAGGACAGTGTCAACACAAGGTACCAACAGGAGAAGAGGACTTCGGCGTCACCGGTGATCCCGTACTGGGCTGTACTGGGAGCTGCAAAGAGAAGAAGAAGAAGAAGAAGAAGAGGTTAAGTGAAAATTTCCGCTCTTAGACCTCCAGATTCTTAGTTTTCATCAGTTCTTGTAAGATAACTACGGGGGCAGAAAAAACATTCAGTTGAAAACTGGAGAAAATGCTGCAGAAATGGCCAAGCCCTCCCGCTACACCGCTCGGTGAATATTACTTTTTGTTTTAAAGAGGATAAATCATTATTAAGGCAAGCATTTAAAAATGTGAGTACTTAACATCAGATGAACGCTGCATGTTTAAACATCTGAATAATTTATCTGTTTTTAAGTTACTGAGCATTAAGACCTCCACTGAAATCAATGAGAGGTGAATATATTTAGCTCTGTTGGAAAAACAACTCATTTTCTGCCTGACTTTAGAAGCCAAAGTTTGACAATCTTGCTTAGCCAAAGACAGTCATATTTATATTCAGTCTCTTTGAAGAAATTGTATTTACTTGCTTTAACACAAAGTCTTCCTCAAATTCCTAAGTAAATGTTACAGTAAGTGCATGCAAAAAAGAGTTAAAATACAAGAAAACATGTGGAGGAAGAAGTGAGGAGACCATCACTCGCAGCAGTGGCGAGCGGGCTGCCCGCTGGCTGTCCTGACTGCGGCACGGGGACCGACCCGGCCAGAAACCCGCGATTTTGGCCTCAAAAAGCCACAGGCGGGAGGAAGGGAAAGGACCTGTCCCTGCGCTGGGCTGAAACTATCAGGACAATGTTATTGGGGTCATCGGCTGCTAAATAAACACTGTGGGCTCGCTTTGGCCGGCAGATTCCTACACAAAATTTCTCTCAAATATTTTTCTTTAATATGATGCATGGAACCCTGAGCGCTTAGAGGCGTAGGCACCATCCTGTGCTCTTTGGTTGACCATCCTGTGCTCTTTGGTTGACCGCTGGTATCAAAGGTTTTGCTTTCCAGATGCTATGAATACACTACAGATTATTCTAAAACATAATACCTGTGCAGGTCTGGTATCGCCTGCTGTTTCTACAAGCAGGCGTCGCTTATGTCAACGGCGCTTTATTTAGACACAAGTTGCAGAATTTGCTTTTGTGACTAAACGGACCCAATGTCTGCCAGAAGCACGGCTGGAGACCAGCTGGTGGATGCCGAGCGGGACTGAGCCCGCTTGGTGCCCACGTCCTGGTGCTCGAGGCCTTTCCCTCGCGGAGGACAGAGGTGTCCCAAGGGCCGGAGGGGAGCAGACGTTTCCAAGCTCATTCCTGATCACCCGTCTTGAGCTAGCTGGGGATGCTCACCCCACAGGCTGCACTGCGAAAGGGAGAGACCGCTAACGTGGCCACTCTGAAAAACACCCGAGCCATGAGTGAATGAAGAGGAGAGGTCTCCTGGGAGCCTGGGGTTGGATGCCACGTGGAGGATCCCGCCTCCTCTGCAGGACCTCTCTTTCCACCCCGTTACGCTGCCGCCCCACGGTGTCCTCAAGGCACAGGGCTCTCTAGACCGAGACCACCAAGAGATGGTCCGAAGAGGAGACTTCAGCCAACAGCTCTGCTCGGCAGGTATATGGGAGAGGGCTACACAGAACAGGGACCGAGGGTGCAGAAGATGGTTTCTCTAGGGCCAAGCCAAACCTTGTCCCACCACCTTGCCCAGCAGCACTGCGGCCCCTCCCCAGGGCCAAGTCCACCTCGGGCGGGGAGGCACCAGGGCATGGTGCTCGCAGGGCTTTGGAGTAAGCAAACATCACCAAATCCTCAGGTGCTTCCCTTCTGGGCAGCAGAGAGGAGAAGTGAAGCATCCTCGACTGCAGACACGTGCCCGGGAGGGTTGCATGGGGTGGGCAAGATGGAGCCCGGGCCCGAGAGCTGGACCTTGTGTGGTGGGGTCGGTACCCGGCATCTGGCTTGCATGGAACCCCCCCTCCCAACATGAACAACCGAAATAAAGCAACAGAGGGATTTCCCTAAAATCACAGCCCGTCTGGAGGAGTAGGACACAGTACTGCAATCACCCAAGAAAACAAAGCAAACCTGTGGTTTTCACCAAATCTTGTTTGCTTCTGCAGGACACCATCTCCTGAATTTCAAGTCTTGTTCAGTCGGGAGACTGAAACATTAACGTCCCTTTGCGTTCTACGCACATCTGTGCTGCGTGCCGCCAGGTCCATTTTCAATGTATGATATTTTATTAGGCTCAGAGTATGTGATTAAAATCAAAAGTCATTCATTCCCCCCTCCCCCGCGTAAAAGTTCAGGTAATAGAAAATATTACAAGACGAAGCTTGATTTTAAAGCGTAGTTTAGTGACATAACCATGACTAACTGCAGGACAGGGCGCTCTCTTCTCTTCTCTTCTCATTAAAAAGGAACTTTCCGTGATAAGTCAGTATGACAAATCAACATTTAATTTATTACAAAAGCCAGGCTAGCAAGCTGAAGCATAGCGTAGGTGGTATTTCATTTTATCATATTAAAAGAGTTTCCCCAACGTAAAGATAATTTGAACTACGGTGGCTATAAAAGCGAGTGGAAAATTATGTAAATCTGATTTCCTGCATATGAACCAGTGCTATCTTTCTAAAGCTTATTAAATCATATCTGGATTGTTTCAGCACAAAGGTACTAGGTGAATTAATGGGGGAAACGTACGTAGACTTGGGTAGATAATAGAAAAGAGTTCTGGTTGCTAAAGCTGGCTAAGCAGAAGGATTTGATGGGGAAGAAACCTGAAGGAGAAGCAAATCTGGACCAGTTTAAGTGACTGGACCCTGCTGGGTTTGAATAAACTGCCCCGAGGGCTGAGTTCACGTGGTGCAGGGATGCCGAATGAGCGCGGGGGGTGGTTTTGCTGCTCCACGGACCATATATCGGCCCTGTTTGATCCCACACTCACCCCGAGGAGGGTCTCGGTGCTACGGCTGGCTCCGACAAACAAGATTTCAGTTAAAAAAAACCCTTTCATAAACACTCTGAGTTTCTTTAAACCCGTCTTTGGCATCGTAATAAAGGATGAAATCCAGGTGTGCTGCATCGCTCCCAGGGGCGCTGGGACTGACGCTCTGGAAGAGCTTGAGCCGAAATTTAAAATGATTCTCCAGCCCCTCTAACACCTTCTGCCCTTCCTCAGAGTCCTTTAAAGAGGGCGAACTGGTGCGAGCGTGCTGGCATCAGGGGCTGCTGGTTAGTACCTGCCAGGCAGAGTTTCACTGAGTCAGACCCGCGGTGGCATTTGGGATAAAAAACCAAAATAAGAGCTTGGCGCTCTTAAAAATTCCTGGAAATGCAATAAGCTTCTGCAGTCCTTTTCTTTTTCAGCTCGGTATTTTGATTAACTTTCCCTGCGGCTCCCTGACTGCTTTGCTGGCGAAAGAAAATTTTCTTCCCAAATATTAATAAAGAATCCACAGCTCTTTTGTGGTGTTTTACAAACTTCAAAAAGTAAACAAATTTACTTTTAAAATTGAAAAGCTCTTAGTATGGTCTGCTTAGTCATTCGTCTAGAATGAATAATTGTTTTTGCTAAGGACTAAGTCGTCCGTGTTTCATTATCATTGCTGTGTAACACTATGCAAGGTCGTTTTGCACTTGGGCTGGTTAATTTTCATAGGGTTTTTTTTGAAGGTCCTCTGTGTCAGAATAAAAACCTCAGTTTAGGAACGAATGAAAAGGTTTAAGGGTTTGAAAATAGCATAAAACTCACAGCTTCTTTTTTCCCCCCGCTACGATCAGCATTGAATGTCAGTGTTTTATACAGACGCGCACACTTGCAGTCATAACATTTGTACAGTGAGGTAACGGTGGAGGTATGTATGATTAGGCATCCAATAAAAGCATGAATTATTGGACTCCCTGGTTACACCTGCAGCTATCCCGGGCACTTCCATAATGCCCATCGCCACCGCTATAACAGAGCGCTCTGTTTATAACTGATTTTACAGCGTGTGAGGCTTTTGGCGCGCAGAGATGGGCAGGAGAGCAGCGGTTGGGCTGCAGAGGGGTATTTATCTGTCTAAAGATTTTCGTCCACAGCAATGTCTGGATAACTACCTGAAGGAGAAACCAAGGTCAGATTGTTTGGCTCCCCTGGGGCCGATGTGGCAGTGCAAATTCACTTCAGAGTTGGGGCAGTGGTACCTTAAAAGAAAGTGAATTTCCATCTAGAAGATTAAAATGAGCTTGATGAGAAGCCTGATGTTTGAAATATAAGATGAGCTAGGATGTAGAAGCTGCAGTAAGTTTAGACTACATCAGCTTCAGTCATTGAGGGGTAATAATTTGCTCTCTTGCTAACGGAGAAGTGATGCCCTGTGGCTGGGAGCGGGGTTACTGGGCGCTGGTGGTCCCACCAACGACGTCTGGCTGTCAGCGTGTGTCACTCGAGGCATCGGTTGCTGTCCCTGTATGACCAGAGGAAACGGCTGTAAAATTTCTCGGGGGGAGAGTCTTCGTCTGGTCGGGCAGTGCAGGGGGTGAGGCGGCGCCGGGCACTGGGACACTGGGGCAGGTTGCCCCGAGGAGCTGTGGCTGCCCCATCCCTGGAGGTGTTCAAGGCCAGGTTGGACGGGGCTTGGAGCAACCTGGGCTGGTGGGAGGTGGCCCTGCCCAGGGCAGGGGGTTGGAACTCGATGATCTCCAAGGTCCCTTCCAACCTAAACCATTCCATGATAACATATTAAAATCACCAGTGGGTCTGTGCGAGCGGGCACTCCCGCTGCAGCAGGGACGGAGACTCGCGGAGAAGGTTTCTGCTCCTATCGCCCCCTTTGCTTTGTAACTCCCCGTGTTATTAGTTATCGAGAAAAGTGTGTCCGCCTCTCACTTTTGACAAGACCGCATCGAGCATCTTTCCTGGGAGTCATTTACAGGGCGTCACAGTCCTGCCAAAGGAGGAACCCCCGCTAAGGGCAGCACTGGCCGTGTCCCCCGCTGCCGCCAGCGCACGACCGCCGGCCAAGGTCCCTGTGTAGGTGCCTTTGAAGCCCACGTGCTCTTATCAAGTTCTCCTTTTTT